AGAGAGAGAGTATTATGACTATGTTTGTGGGACACTTTTATATTACTAAGAGGTGGTAACTAGGAGGTAGCCGGTGGGCTTGCCTAGTTACGAGTGTGTGGTGAAGACTAGTAGGCCGGTAGGCTTACCTAGTTACGTGTGTGTGGTAAACGCTAGCAAGCGGTGGGCTTGCCTAATTGCTACCAAGTGTTGTGACACATGGTGCTACGGCATCATGTGGGGCTAATAGTTTTCAAGGGTAGTTAGGTTGTATTAGGTCGTGAGACGGAATAGACCGTCTTACTGAGTATTCAATACTCACCCCCTTACCAGGCTTGCAGGATAGGAGATCTGGTTAGGTGGCTCATAGGATGCGGCAAGGTAGGAGGATGCGGCAGAGGCGGTAGAGGCTTTCCCAAGGCGTGGTAGTTTAGAGTTCCCGCATTGTAATTTCACCGCACAATATAATAAAGAAATTTTAGAGTACTGAGATAACTGATTTGATAACATTTTGCGGTAGGATTTATAGTCCTTAAAGCAGGTGTTACAAGCCGTCCGGTTTAATGAGCTTCGTTCTCCGGTGTCCCTCTGGCAACATTGCAGCCCCCTAATCGGTGCTTCTCTTTCGTCCCTCACCGGTGAGGCCCTGTTTCAACCTCACCGATGACGGTTTACATTGATTCGATGTTTGTCTCCCCGCCTCCACCCTCCGTGGCGACAAGCCATACGAATATGCTCAACTTCCTCGCTTCTCGGAGGAGGAAGATCCTTACGATGCTGATGAACTCTCTTCGACCATCGAAGCCCCTGAGCCACCGGACCCGCCGGATACACTCTCCCCATCTCCACCACCACTCTCCATCCCAGCCTCTCGGAGCTTCTTGTCTGCTGCTTCGATATTGGCCTTAGTTTCTCTACCGAAAAGGTCGTCTTCTGCTGACGATATCACCGGAGCTGTCCCCACCGGCAAAGCCCCACCGCGCCATAGCCTGCCCACCTTCCATCACCGTCTGCATTTGCCGAAGACCTCTCTAGATCTTAACGGCACGAGATCTGAAAGGTCGGATAGCTCTCGAAGGTTGATACTGCCATCTCTTGGATCGGTCTCCCTTTGAACCCGGTCTCGAGACTCTGTGTCTCACTGCCAAGCTCGAATTTGGATGAGTCCATCTTCCTCTCCCACTCCGCGATCTCATCTCGAGTACTCTGGCCATCCAATTACTCTCTCGCGAGTAAAGAGCTCGGTTCCAGCAAAGATTTTGAGGTGGCTATGAATCCCAGTTTCCCGTCATCCTTCCCGGCGGCGATTTGTTCCGACCACTCAGCGTCGTCTTCTCCCCAATATGCCGGATCCCCAAAAATCCATCTCCCTCTCGGCATTAAACAATTTTGGGCATAGGCCAATAAGATTAATGGGCTTTTAAGCCCAATACAGATCCGGTTTGGTCACTTATGGGGCCTGTCCCATGAGTTTTATAAGGGGCTGAAAACAAACCCATTTTTCACCTCAATGTTTTATGAACCTAATATCTTCTCTTACGAGAGAAAACCAAAGTTTTCTAAATTCTCAAATTCTGTAGTTTTTATTAATGATACCTCTTCTATTGAGATAAAAAAAAAAAATTCTGAATTCTCAAATCCTGTTATTTACTTCCGGTGGAAGAGTTCAATTCCACCTTCTTCTTTTTGAGACTGGTCGTATCTTCTTCCATCTCTTGGAAAGTGGTTGACTTCCCGAGCTTTATGTTGGGATCTTCAAAGTCACATTGGAAAGTGACCAACCTGAGACTCTCCGACTTTGCCATAAAACCCCTCTTGATGCATCCGAAGTATGCTTTAGATTCGATGTCCATCAATTTCTGCGATAATCTATCTGCTCTATGTTTTATTGCATTTCAATTATGTTGTAGTAATGTTGGAGGCTGCTTAGTTTCCTCTCTTTGTATTTTGATCGATTAAATAAATGAAGTAAACTTGTTGAAAAAAAACTATTGTCATTAGAGTACTGGTTCTATCTTATGAGACTGAATATTGGTCATATTGGTGAGTTCAAAATATTACAAATTAAAGTAAGATTGTGACTAAAAACTTTAAAATTAATAACTCAGAAAAAAAAATATTTTCTTCTTATTTTTATATAAAAAAGGTTTTGGGCCTTTTGGCTGATTAAAAGTAAAAAAGTTTTTTTTTTTCTTAACCCAAGTAACAAAAATCGAGAGTAAAGTTTTTCTCTAGTATTTTTTTTGTTGAAAGTTATCTATAGTAAATATAAATATTGCTTGATAACCAAAAGAAAATGTGGCGGATCCAGAGAAGAATGTTTTCCTTTTTGATTGTGAAGCAATTATACTCATAATAAAATAAATTATTAAAATGGTTGACAACTCATTATAAGAAAAAAATAATTTCCAAATTTTCGGAAGAACTACAAACCCAAATTTTGAATGTGTAATTAGAACAAACAATAATATTCTGTAAAAAAAAAGTTTGAAAATTTGATAGGATGAATGAATGAATTTTAAAATAAAGAAATGATAATAGAATAAAATGTTAGATGCAAGTGATAGAAAATGGAATATGAAACGGTTTAGAGTTGTAAATACATAAAAAATAATAAGATTTTCGACCAATAAAAGAAAGAATAAGACTAACAAAAGAGATAAAACTAACAGAAAAGGAAAGTAAAAAAAAAACATAAAACTAATAAAAAAGAGAAAATTAGGAGAAAAGAGAAGTGAGGACTCTTATACATGAGCCTTAACCAAAACAAGTCAGTGCTTGGTCCAAATATGGTTATTGGGTCCAAATTCAGATTATGAACAAAATACAATAACGAATGCTATAATCCATCTTGGATGCATTGTATCAACAAAATTGGAAAATAGAACCAGCTAAAAGATACATCATTTTCTCTGGAAGTGTCTCAGTTGCTATCTACATATGGTAGATAATTTATAAACACTTAGCAAAAGAGGTTAATTGTGTAAGATGTCAATGGAGGTATGTAAAATATCCCAAGGAGGAGAATGGTCATATTTAGTTTACAATAACTTCTTCGAAGTCCTATACCTCCAACAATTTTACTCTCAACATGAAAACACGATTAAATTGGTGCCACCAATTGTTTGGTATTTATGAAAAAGTAAAAATGAAATTTTCTTTAAAAGCTTTTATCTAATAAGAAGACTAGTGAGAAGAAGCTTGGAAGATGAAAAAGAATGGAGAAACAGAGAAGAGTAGAATCTCAAGTACAAGAGATGACAACAACTTTCTCCCGAGCAAGAACAAAAATGATGGATTCCCCACCACAAGACTAGGTAAAATATAATGTTGATGGTGTTTGATTACATGGGAGAAATAAAGTGGGTTGGGATGGATACTAAGAGATTAAAAGGGCAATGTGTTTTGGATGAGAGCAAGAGCAATACCAATACCAAAATCGGTAATTAAAATAGGAACTAAGGCCTTAAATTGGACAATCTTAACTTTGAATGGATTTAGATATCGAAAAATCACCTATCATTCAAACACAAGGCAACTAATTCCAATCTTAAAGAAACAAGGAAAAACCGTCTCTCAAGCCGTTAGTACAAGATATCAAATATAATGCATGCTCTCCCATACCAATTGATGTCATGTTACGGTTTCATCCTAGGAACGACAACAAAGTGGCTGGTAAGGTAATAAATCAATCTCTTTATTTTTAGAACTATGATCTTAAGTTGTATCATTTAGTGCCAAAATGAACAATATTGCAAGTCGAGCTTGATAATCATTTATAAGATAAACATTGGAGTGAATGATAAGTTGCTGCACTCAACAAAAAGATAAAACCTCTTTTAAATTACATTACAGTCTACACGCATTCAAGACCGGGGTAGCCTATTTTAATCTTGTATTACATTTCAGCAATTATGAATTTGTTAAATAAGGTTGGATAGATAGAAAGATAAGAGCAAAGTATATATAATATACTGTTTATTTTTTTTTATCCCAATTTATAGGTAGAAAAGCATTAATACCGAAAATAAATTAAGAAAAAATATATTAGCTTTAGTACTTGAGACCAAGAGTGAGCTCAAGAGACAATATCTCACCATTGTTACCATCTTTCTGGTCTTCATCATTTCCACTTTCATTGAGTCCAATCTGTTATCAACATAAAAATTCATTGAAATATATTAAATCGTAAGGTAGA